TCAATATATAATCTACCCGCAATTCAAAGAGGCATCCAGAGAGAGGTTTGTATACATACGAGAAACCATCCCCACCAGTAGTGAAACCAGTAGCTCACCAGAGAAAAAACAGGGAGAGAGACAGTTAGACAGAGAAGTCGCCACAGAGCAGAAGAAGAAGAAGAAGAAAGCAATCTTTATGAGCTGGGCCGATTCCTCCTCCTCCTCCTCTTCTTCACACACAGTGAACCTTTCGATGCTAGTGGTGGTTGTGTAGTGGTTGCGCGGGCTGTTGTTGTGTGCTCCAGCACTTTCACAATTGAACACACAGTACATTACATTTTCCCTATTCTTCATCAATTGAAAATTTTGCGACTCAGAATTCTTCATTCTGCATTCGCAGACATTGCCTTCACAGGCGAGCACGTCCTCTCTCTCCTTTCGAATGATGCAAAGTGATTCAACAGTTCTAGTGTGCTAAAATTGCATCATTTTCAGACAGTGCACTAATTGCACTCATTTAAATGCAGTTTGCATACCCAGAGCACACGCCCCCACTTTCGTCGCATCACGTTTTCGCATCACAGACAGCCATCATTACCACCGCCGCTATAATTATTTTCCCGTAAAGTTCACACGGCTGCATTGTGAAATGCCAAAGCGCACGTTTACTTCTAAACTGAACATAATAATCCTTTCATCACAATTGAGCTCCTATTTCTGCTGCAGACAAAGAGTTCGATTGATCCGTTTGTTTGGAGTTTTGATAATATCAATTAATGTGGTCAAATTAATTTAATTATCTCAAAACTTTCGTTCATCTAATCAAGCAAAGTAGTGACTAGTGAATTGTTGAATTTGGTCAAGCATTCTGTTTCTGTCTGTCCCTGTCGATCGTTCTTCTTCACTGGTACTCTCAGCAATACTTGAACTTATGCCTTTTATTGTGCTGGCAAATTACTTTCAAGTTCTTAGAAAATCTAGTTTTCTCAGTGTGTGGCACCAAATATCCAACAAAAGAGGTTTTGCAACCTCCTTAGTCGATTGACATTTACGCCGTCATTAACGGTTTGCCACTAACCCAAACAAACACTTTTTTCTCTCGCTCAACCACCACCACCAGGCAAACCTCTGCCTGTGAAGCAGCAATCTTTTCTTCTGTTTTCACCACTTTCCAGAAGCCAAATCAATTGAACACTGTACAGCACACACACAGTGCCAATCGCATTTGCTTCCACTTTCCCTCTCCTACACCACCACCAGCGAGTGTATTTATATAAACGTGTTGATTTCTCTGTTTGTTGTTTGGGTTCAATCTCTTTCGTTTATTACATTCGATAC